TAGAATCTAATGCTCATTAGTTTGTTTAAAATTACATAGAGATATGATTAATTTAACAAACCAGTGAAGGATTAACTTGACTTGAGAAAGCTAGTTAATTAATTTAGGGAAATCCACCATCACATGCAATAATACTTAACAATTTAGTAATCCAAAATTTATATTGATTGATTATGGTGAAGTCAATGCCTTAGTATCTCATATCTTGATTAGATTTATTTGTTATTTTCTTTTTATTATTTTCAATTAAAGTTTCTTCCTATTTGATTGTTCAAATAAATTTGGATTAATTATTTTGGTACTTAATTAGACACAATTCTCGTGGGTTCGACACTCTATTCATCATTATATTACTTGGGGCGACTAGTACACTTGTTAGGGTGATTTTAGTGCATCAGAATTCTCCTGTATCCCTGTTTTGACCCCTTCCTTTTCTGGGATTGCTTCGTTTACCTTTTCCTGAAGCTGTTCTGATACGTTATCCATCCTTTTTCCTTGGCCCTTCACTGCTTGTGCGTATGAATGCCCTGGTTGAACCAATCTATACATGCTGCATGTTGATCCATTAGCTTTAAACACGCCTTCAACCTTTCTGGGTGTTGATTCTTTCCTCTGTCTGTCATTTGCAATCTTCACTCTTATCTTGTAGGAGCCAATCCATATCTCGTTCAGCCTCCTCTCCATTTGAATCACATCCTTGACCCCTGTTAACCGTACGAAACCATACCTCTTCCCTCTCTTATCTCTTTTGCTCGGAAGATACACATCAACTACCTTGTCGTACATCTGAAAGCTGTTCCATAGAAACTTTGCCTCCATTTCCTCTGGGAAGTTATAAAAGAAGAATGTCGTTGACCCTCCGAAGAACTGTGCGGTATAACCTGCAAAGCCATTCCTGCCTCCTTGCCACTGTCTGTATCCACCTGCAGAACCATTCCTGTCTCTTTGGCGCTGTCTGTAGCCACCTGCATAACCATTCCTGTATCCTTGCCGCTGTCTGTAGCCATTATCTTTCCTTGCTGCCGCTCTCTTTGCCGCAATCCGAGTGCTCTCCATCGGTTTTCAACGTGATTTGTTTTTTTATAACTAAATTGAAGAATTAGTTTTAGTATATAATATAAACTATTAAATGATTATGAAATTTTGAAATTAAATGTCATCTTTATTTAATAATTTATATTTTACACTTAGGCAATAAAATAAAAAACTTAGAGAATTTAGAATGATATCGAAACTTGTTTTCTTTATCATAGTTAATAATGTGTTTGGTGATGTTGAGATAAGCACGCTTAAGTTTTAGTGTTAACTCTTAATAAGTCATAATCATATTGAATATCAATTAAATTAAAATTAAATTATGTTGAATTTTATAAAAAAAAAAAGTTCTTTCAATGTCTATTTTTTTATTTATAAAACTTAAATTTAAAATTTTATTTAAAAATTTTTTTTTTTTCTATTCAAATCAACGAACTATTACTTAAAA